CTGACATGCGCAACGTGGAGCTGGCCACGACCCCCCCCAGCCATGCACCCCCCGAGGTCAAACACAATCCTGATATGGCCCTCAGTGAAATCGAGTTTGACACCCTTGGTATAGACCCTTATTATCTGAGGGACCATCTATTTTCTGTAGTGTCTGCCCAGCAGGCAAAAGTCAATAGGGTTGATTCAGCCTGGTCCCTTCAATTAAACAGTGTCAAGTATCACTCAGGAAGCAAGCCTGCCTTCTAGAAAGAGGTACCACCAGAGATCCATTTGGCTCCCATTCTGGTGCATTCCAGAAATCCTTAAAGAAATGGCTGTTCTCCCAGGCCGTGTGGTAGGTTTGCAGGAGCCATTGTTTAATATGTTTGTCAGTGTGTTTTGTTAGCTGTTCCTGACATCTTGCTCTTTATTTCCATTTCTTTTAAATTTATTTCCTATACTTTCTACCTGTTTGGTTTTATTGCCACCTAGACACATTGGAGTTGGATGGTGTCTAAATTGAGTAAATAATCTATATATATTTTTTAAATCAACTCAATGGAATATTGAAAAGAAACTATGTAAGTGATGCAGGACTCTATTCATCAGTTTCATTAGCAAGGCAATTGTTTGCAAACTGAACCATACTTTCCAACATTGAAAAGCCAGTAAAATAAATAAATTAGATCTAACTAAAGTCTGTGAAAAGATCAATCCAGAAAAGAAAACTTCAATGAACTTTTATGGGCAAAGCAGATGGGCAGTAGTTCACACCATTGTCAACTTCTTCATTTTAAGCTCCTTTTCTTCCCCATTATGTTGTCCAAAGTAGAGCTACCTTTAAAGCATTATAAAGAATTCCATGCTGCATGGTTTTATTTAGCTTTTATTCCTTCCAACCCAAAGGAAGGGAGAGAGGGAGAGAGAGGGGGAGGAAGATAGGGAACGGGAAGGAAAGAAATCCCATGAAATATTACTGACGCCTGTAATCTAAAACCTGTACTAAGATGCAGCTAACCCTGTGTTACCCTATGCACACAATAGATAAAAATATAAATCAAAAGGGAGAGCAGAAACATACTGCAATTAGCTGAAATGAGGAATGGTAGTTTGCAAATATTGGCCAGATCTATATACATCTGGATCAGACAAATAGGTAGCAAACTTCTTTGCATCAAGAGGCAGATAAAAAAAAGGATCAGAAGAAAGAAAGAGGACCTGCATTTACTGAAGGTTGAGGACCTAAAGTATACATACCCAGTTTTTAAGATGTTGTAACCTAAGCATGTTTCTTTAAATCAATTTAAAGAATGAGACTTTGGGAAACCAGTTTTCTTAATTGGAAGCAACTCTCACAGGACTAGCTTACACAGAGAAAATACATATCTTCCCTTCTCAGTAAGTCAAATACAAATAGATCGAGCAAACACATAAGAACCTGCCCTGATCACAGCTCAGAAACACACGCATATACAGACAACAATAATGCACATAAACTAATAAGACCCTGGGGCGGAAAATCACTACACAGAAGAAAATATAGAAGCTCCTATGATCACTAATTGTACAGGAATTGGAAAGAATGCTCAAAGCTATGCTTGTATATTCAGTTCAAACATAAGAACTCAAGTATTGTTCATTAAGAAGCTAGGAATATAAATTCATTTCCTAATCCTTCATTTGTTGCCCTCTTTGCCTTCTTAGGTTCCTAAATCTTTATAGATGCATTCAGACTACAACTATTTATCAATCAATCAAATTTATATGGCTGCCCATCTTATGGAAAGTGACTCTGGGAGACATATAGAAATCCAATAAAACAGTAGATACATAAAACAATCATCTAAATCTATTAAATATGGTTTGAAAATTCAGAAGGAGGCCAACTTCATCTCTAGTAGAAGAAAAGACTCCACAATGTAAGTGCCATAGCAAAAAAGGATGATTTTGTATGTACAGTAACTTTATAGTACAATGTAGCGTTACATGGTTAAGTTTTTTTCTGCTTGTTTTATCCATTATCCATTATATAATTATAATTCAGATTCAAATGCATTTCTTCACAGAAACAGCAGGTCATATCATTATGACTTCACTCAACTGAGATAAATCACTCCAAAACTGGCTGTTTGTCCAACACATTATGCCCAAATCATACAAACCATATAATGGCTTAACATGCTATGTAAATCAGAGGATAGGTTCTAGCCAATGCCAGCCTGAATTCTTGATTCTTGATTGCTTTTTTCCATCTTGTCTTCCCCTTCTTGCATGGAGGGGACTTCATATTTCCCTAAGCTAATGCCAACAGACATCATTTTCCTAAATCTAAAAAAAACCTCAGTTTATTAGGATACCATGAAGATAATCTAACAGTTTAGTAACTATAACAGTCATCCCAACATGAGTTTTTCCTCACATTTACCAAAGAAATTCTGGTTCTCCTTGTTCATTGGGCAAGGTGACAGGAAATGATATAATGAAAATGATGGGAAAGATCAATTTAAGAGCAGAATGAGTTAACTTGAAACACCTTTTAACCATAAATAACACTGAATG